CCCCAGGTCCTTTTCCGCCAGGCAGCTTTCCAGCCACTCTTCCCCAAGCCTGTAGCGCTGCATGGGGTTGTTGTGGCCAAAGTGCAGGACCCGGCACTTGGCCTTGTTGAAGCTCATACAGTTGGCCTGGGCCCATCGATCCAGCCTGTCCAGGTCCCTCTGCAGAGCCTTCCTACCCTCGAGCAGATCAACACTGCCGCCCAACTTGGTGTCGTCTGCAAACTTACTGAGGGTGCACTCGATCCCCTCATCCAGATCATTGATAAAGATATTAAACAGAACTGGCCCCAATACTGAGCCCTGGGGAACACCGCTCGTGACCGGCCGCCAACTGGATTGAACTCCATTTACCACAACTCTCTGGGCCCGGCCATCCAGCCAGTTTTTGACCCAGCGCAGAGTACACCTGTCTAAGCCGTGAGCCGCCAGCTTCTCTAGGAGAATGCTGTGGGAGACGGTGTCAAAGGCCTTACTGAAGTCCAGGTAGACCACATCCACAGCCTTTCCCTCATCCACTAGGCGGGTCACCGGGTCATAGAAGGAGATCAGGGTGGTCAAGCAGGACCTGTCTCTCATGAACCCGTGCTGGTTGGGCCTAATCTCCTGGTTGTCCCACACCTGATTGTGAGCGCCCTCAAGATGAACTGCTCCATAATCTTCCCCAGCACCAAGGTCAGGCTGACAGGCCTGTAGTTCCCCGGATCCTCCTTCCGGCCCTTCTTGTAGATGTGTGTCACATTGGCCAGCCTCCAGTCATCCGGGACCTGCCCCGTTAACCAGGACTGCTGATAGATGATGGAGAGTGGCTTGGCGAGCTCCTCCGGCAGCTCTCTCAGCACTCTCGGGTGGATCCCATCCGAGGGTGTTCAGATGTATGACTGTGGCTGGCATGGGATTCACGATGGTGAGGCTCTACACAGCTCAGCTCATGGCCCTCTGAGCAAGTCACTTCACCCCTCTGTACTCCAGGCTCCCATCTGTAAAATAATAATGATAGCTTTTGTAAGGCATTTTGAAACCTACTGATGAAAATTGCCATATAAAAAATAGATATGGGATTTAGATTTATATTAAATACTATCCTAAACAGAGACAGACTTCAGCTCATGTTTAGTGCTTTTATTAAATTCCAGCAGATAGAGAGAAAGACACTCTCTGGTGAAAACCTCTTCTTTTTCCCCTTCTCATGAAAACGCGTGGTGAACTCAATGAAAACCACAATGAGCAATGTTGAAATCAAACCCCTTTCTTGTAAAAATAATACTATGGTAGCATTCCGCAAAAAAATGATATAAACTAAAGTGACATAAAGTAAAATAAAGGACATAAAGTAAAAATGACATAAAGACATGTTTGCTTCTTTAGCATTCCTACAACAGAGCATACGAAGTATCTTACCTTTTTTCCTAGACACTGTCCCTTCCTGGATAGTGATATTTGTTCTGCCAATACACAGTGCCTTGAACCCCATTCTCTATACTCTCACAACTAGTTTCTTTAAGGAGAAGTTGAAGCAGTCACTGGACAGTCATTGAAGGAGGGCAATTTTCAAAAATTATGAAAAAACTTTGGCCACTTCAGTCATGTGGACAGATGATCCTCTCATCCATAGCTCTTCCTTTTATGCTTGGATTTTTAAAAAAATAACTCCTGAGGACAGTACTAACTTTTATTTACCAATCTACAAGTGGTTGTTTCCTAGCAGGATAACAGAAACAGGACCTAACTGCCTCACAGCTGCATTAATCTCTTTGAGATTCATATGTAGGCTCTTTTTGGCCATTACCGTCTCTGTATTCAACTTCCTGGAAAATAAAATCACAACTGTTGCATTCATCAGGGGAGATTTGTATCGCAGATTGAAACACAGGAACACCATGCACTGGGGCTAAAAACAGCAATACTTTTCTACTATTCACCCCCCTTCCCCAGAGAGTCAGTGTATCTGTACTTGCTAGCTATATTCTTCATATAATATATATAGATTACGGGAAAGGACTTTTGCCTCATTTGGTCTGTACTGCCAATTTCAGGATATACCCTTGTGGAGAGGTGTTTCTCCCAGGGTTGGAAGTCCGTGGTGGGAGAAGGCCAGAACATTCTATGCAATGTGTAAATCTATATTAATCTTGTAAGATTTAAGTAATATGTGAGCTCTGCAGAGTGGTGAATGTCTCTTTGTGCAAATAAATACACTACTCAGAACTGCAAGACCCGAGCAGTGTTATTACAATATTTTTAAGGTACTAAAAGTCAAGTGAAACTTCCTGTGTAAGCAACAGAGCCCAGACTGAAATAAAAATTAAATAATGAAGCTCTCAGAACGACCCTTGAAAGCAGTCAATTCAGTTTTCATTGCATCAGGTTTTATGAAGCATCGGCATGCAGACAGCATGGGTAAGCACATGCTTGAGGGAGCATTTATGGGACTGAGGCACTTGCAAGGTAGAACAATTCCCCGTTATTAGTTATGTTTTCATAACCACCTTAGATATATTTTGACTTTATTGCGTATGAGCTGCCTACCTGTTATAAATAGAAGAATCAAGCTCTTAGAAAAAGAGTAAAGCAAAACTTTCAGCAGACTTTCACCTTTTTTTTTTTTTTAAGATTTACTAAAGAAAGCTCCAGAAAATGTTTTAGAAGCTCCAGTTCATAGATCGTTCTGAAGTGTTATCAAACACAAGGAGTTTGGAGCAATGAGGAAGATCCAGAAAGGGAGGAGAAAACCCAACATACTGTATGGGCACATCACTGAAAATAGAGGAGCCTGAAGAGTTAACATTTCTCAGCTGAGATGACAAGACTGAATATATGCTTCGGGCCCACCCAGACTGTGAAATATGATGGATATATTTGAACCACCACGAAGGCAGGAAGTCAAGTCCAATAATAAGGTCATTGTACTGTGGCAATGAGCCCGACCGTGAGGTTTTGACCCAAGTATTCACATAGCACACACTTTAGTGTGGGATTCTGTCTGAAGAAATCTAAATTTCCATTTAGGTATCAGAAGATCCTCTCAGTTAGTGACCCAGTTGACCTACTTTCTAGTACTGACAAACCCCCTTGGTGCCTTAATTTGATAGACACTGTCCTGCTTGGCCTGAACAGTCCCTGGAGTCTCCTGGGTTCAGCATGTGCCTGATAAAGGCAGAGTAGGAGTCCAGGGGCAGAGGAGCTATAGCAGCTTGCTGGTTCGTACTGGTGGTTTCTCTGCTCGTAGCTGTGGAGGTGAAGTAGGTTCTGGCTGCTGTAGGTGCTCTAGGAAGTACCTCTCCTCAGACAGAGCAGCACTTTGGATACACCCAGGCTATTACGATGGATGGGGATGCCAGGGAAGGAGCAAAGCAGCCTGGTACTGCAGAAGGGGTGGTCGCATGTGGAGGCAGAAGTCAGAGGGCAGCACCCCAGCGAGGCTGCTCTGCCACCTAAAATATGTGTTGTCTCTGCAAACAGAGGTGCTGCCAGCTACCCATCGTCCGGATTTCATGTGACTGCCCTGGAGAGCCCTGGAGAGGAAATTTCCTCCCCTGCACCCCCTCCTGACATACCAGCTGCTGCACCTCTGCAGCAACCCATGTGCATTGCACTGGCTAAATAGTGGGGATGGGAAGGGAAATTGGTCTTGAATACACCTCTCTGGGCACTTCCCTGGGATAATGTAGACACTACTTGTCATTTTTGCCTCTCCTTGACAAAATCTTCACTTAAAGTAGTTCTTTCTCTTGAACTTTGGGATAAAGCAGAACTTGATCTTTATATAGCTTTGCTCTCCACACAAATTTGATTTAAAGAGACAGAAGGATACTTTTCCACATCCATTGGTAATCTGTTCCAACAGATTATTATTTAAAGTATGTCATTTATTAAAATAAACAAATTAATTCAAATTTGTGTTTTCTGGGTTTCCATTTGCAGTAACTGAATTGCCTATGAATATGAAAGAAGAAAGCTTTTTCTGACTAAAATGTCTCAAAAGGCTGATTCTCACTGTTAATACTTAAAAGCTATTTGCTTTTTGCAACACTACTACTCTTTTTTCTATACGTTGTAAACCTTGATGGTCCTGCCCTCCTCTGATAAGATGTAAAAAATGAAAGACAAATTGTCAAAAAGCAAAAAAGGAGGAATTCTACATGGAATCAGAGATTACAGAATCACAGAAACACAGAAAAATTGAGGTTGGAAGGCACCTCTGGGGATCATCTAGTCCAACATCTGAGCTCAAAGGTGGATCAGCTACAGCATGTCTTCCAGGATCATGTCCATCTTGGTTTTGAATATCTCCCAAGGATGCAGACTCCACAACATCTCTGGGTTGCCTCTTCCAGTGTTTGATCACTGTACAACTAAGAATTTTTTTTCTCACATTTCAACAATATTTCCTGTATCTAAATTTGTGCCCATGGTCTCCTGTCCTGTCATCAGGCACCACAGAGAAAAGTCTGGCTCTGTCTTCTTTACTCCCCCTCATCAGATATTTACACATGCTGGTAAGATCTTCCCTGAAAATTCACTTCTTCAGGCTGAACAGTGCCAGCTCTCTCAGCCTCCCCTTGTATGTCAGATGCTCCAGTCCCTGAATCATCTTCATGGACATCTTCCTTGGACACAGTTCAGTATGTACATGTCTCTCCTGTGCTGGGGAGCCCAGACGTGGACCCAGCACTCCAGATGTGTCTCACCAGGGCTGAGAAGAGATAAATTATCACCTCCTTTGACCTGCTGGAAACACTCTTCCTAATGCAGCCCAGGAGGCTTTGGTCATTTTTACTACAAATGAACATTGCTGGCTCATGATCCGCTTGTTCTCCACCAGCACCACTAAGTCCTTCTCTTCAGAGCTGCCTTCCAGCTGGTGGGTCCCCAGTGTGTACTGGTGCATGGGGTGATTCCTCCCCACAGGCAGGGCTTGGCTTTTCCCTTTGTTGAACCTTGTGAAATCCCTGTCAGCCCATTTCTCCAGCCTGTTGAGGTCCTTCTAAATGGCAGCGCAACCAGCTGGTGCATCAACCCCTCTTCCCTGTTTTGTATCCTCTGCAAACTCTGTCCCGTTGTCCAGATCATTAATGAAGATGTTAAACAGCGTTGGCCCCAGTACGGACCCCTGAAGCACTTCACTAGTGACTGGCCTCCAGCTGGACTGTGTGCCTCTCAGCCTGGCAGCTCAGTTTTCAATCTACCTTACTGTCCATTTATCTAGTTCATATTTCATCAGTTTGTCTATGGGACATTATGGGAGAGAGTGTCAAAAGACTTACTAAAGTTGAGATAAACAGCATCCACTGCTCTCCCTTCATCCACCAAGGCAGTCATCTCATTGTAGAAGGCTATCAAGTTGGTCAAGTATGACTTTCCTTTCATACAAACATGCTGACTGCTCCCAGTCATCTATTTGTCCTTCATATACATTTGGAAATGGTTTCCGGGATTGTTTGCTCCATCACCTTCCCAGGGATCAAGGTGAAGCTGACTGACCTGTGGTTCCCTGGATCCTCTTTCTTGACCTTTCTGAATATAGGAGTGACATTTTCTTTCCTCCAGTCCTCAGGAACATCCCCTCATATGACCTTACACAGTTTCTTAGCATATAAAATATTGGGGAGGGTGGTGTTTAAAAAGATTTGTGGGATTTTTTTCCCCCTCTTTGGACTGTAATTCTTTATAAACATTTCCAATGGCTATTTGCCTTATTTTTAATTAAAAAAAACCCAAACATCAGAACAAACAGCTGTGCCTGAACAAATATTGCCCATATAATCGCCCACCATGAAGAACTAAAAGGAGACTTGCCTTTGTACTGCGTTAAACATTCTTACTCTGTTGTTACTGGGATCTGTTTAACAAGCAAATAGGAAAAACCTAACAGTTGGTTTTACAACATAATTTTTTGACAGAAGGCAGTGATGAATAAAATAACTTCTTGTCCCTCACAGCTAGTATGTGATCAATGACAAATGAAACACAGGAGCAGGACCTGAAGGCGAATAGTGAAAATCCCAAGTGCAGTTCAATTGCCTGCAATGCAGGGAAGTTTTTTAAGGTTATTATGATCCTGATGGCAGCAGAGAACATTCCCCTGTACCTTTTATCAGAGAATGACTGGTCCACAAACACTTCAGCCTTGGAAATCCTAACAGGAGATACTCTAACTCGGAGCTAGATCTTTTAAATGGTAATCTTTTATGTTACCTCCCTACTCCGAAAAAAAGATAAAATGGATCAGACAGGACTGGCTGCAGTGATACTAAACTATGTCCAGAGGACTATGTATTTTAAAGTAGGGATTTTAAAACTCTTGCAGAAACCCATTTTATTCAGCATTTTCAATGTTCAGTGTTCTACAATAAGTACGTGCCCTTAGGATATTTCTAAAATACTGTACATTATTCATTGTTTGTCCAGGATAAAAACAGTTTTCCTGCTCTGCACAAAGGTTGTTCAGGAGGCACACTGTAATATCTACAAAGGTCCCCTCAGGACAACACACGAATAATGGAGCAGAAAGTAAAGTTAGTCACCTTCCTGTCTGCATGAATCTATAAAAAGTACTTCAGTATGATAGATGATGGTGATGGTGGACTGAACGTTGAACTACGTCTCTGCATTCAAGCACACAGATGCCTTAAATAAATTATGTATCAAAAGAGAGCCTCTTAATTCTAAAAAAAGGCTGCACCAAAACATATTCATGGCTTGAGCTGCCTTCTCCTGTTATTCTACTGTTTAGAAATCAATAATATCAATAGTTTCTGAAAGGTCAAACAAGATGATGTGTTCATTGGTATGAGTAGTATTTCAATGTTATCTGTTCTGCAGCCTAAAAATATAAGAACAAAGCACTGAAATACCCATTGCATGTAAGGTAAAATGTTGCAATGCTGGTTGT